CCGTAAAGGAGCCGCGCCGCCCCGCCGCTCGCCCGGGCGCCCTTAAAGGAGCCGCGCTGCCCGGGCGCGGCTGCAGGTGCGCGGGGCAGGAGCTCCCGGCCCTGTCGCCAAGCCCTACTCCGCCGAGGAGCGGCGCTGTCGCGATAGTCACGGCTGCTATCCTTCCTGGAGTGAGGGACTGGGGGTAAAAGGAGAGTAGAGCTCGCGGGCTATTTACATAAAATAGCAGAGCTGCTACCTCCTTCCCACGGCTGCTTTAAAATCTGCTGGAAGTCTGCACTGTACTATTTATGTCGGCTCCCCACCTCACCAAGCAAACGGCACCCACGCCACGCTCTCTAGAGTCATAGAGGTTGGGAAAGACGCTTAAGATCATGGGGTCCCGCCGTTAACCCAGCGCTGCCAAGCCCACCACTAAACCACGTCCCTCAGCACCACATCTCCCGGCTTTTAAACCCCCCCAGGGGTGGGGCCTCAGCCCCTGCCCTGGGCAGCCTGGGCCAGGGCCTGACAGCCCTTTGGGGGAAGAAGTTTTTCCCAATACCCAACCCAAACCTGCCCTGGCACAACCTGAGACAGCTGTAGCTGTCCTTAAGCTGTGAAAAGCCAGGAAATAACTTCTGAAGTCTTCCCCCACAGCCATTACTCTGTTAGTATCTTTAATCTAGAAGTCCAGCAGCAAATAGCTGTTATCTTTAAACATAATAGAACTTAGCCCCTGCTCACTCAGCAGCGTCCAGTCATCTTTTTCTCAACAACTGGGAGTCCCTCCTGGAAACAGTCAAATGCAGCTGCCCGTAAATCAGATTTATGGCAGTAACGTTCCTACCAGCACTGTGACGACCAGCGAAATACCTGTGATAATCTTGACGCAGATTTCCATCCAGAGAAGAGCTAAACGTTCAGAGCACCCAGTGCTTCATCTTTGCCCATACGCAAAATAACCGCTGCCGTGCTTTGCGACTGAGGGCCCTATGCAGCTGCTTCCTGAAGATGGAGGTCGCTCACACACCATTTATTATGTCTGTGCTTACACTGAATTGTATCAGGAACCTGATTTCTGGTGAATCAGTTCCTAAAGGTTAAGACGCATCCATTGCTGTAAGAATTGCACCACTGACAGTTCTCATAACCCAGCCCTGAGTTCAGCTCTAAAACCGATCACTCAGATTTGCCTGCCATACTTTGATACCCCAGCACCCCGTAACCCTGGTGGGTAACCTTCATTTTCTAGGATGGACAGTATCAGGGAACACTTAACCCTGGTCCTCAACGTGCTATTCCTTACTTCTGTCTAAGGGTCCTTAGAAGTTTTGCTCGTTGTACCCACTGGAGAGCTCCTCTGAGCATTCCTTCTCCCGGTGGCACCGCTCACGGCGATGCTCCGCTGCAGATGCAGGCCGGGGTCTCTCTGCCAAAGGTTCTCAACGGCTGCCATTCAGAGCACAGCACACTGTGGAGTTTCTCAGTACTGGGACTAAGTCTACAGATTGCAGGCATCTGGTCACGTTAGAAATACTACTCCTGTGCTTTCACCTTCCCTCACGTTCCTAGAAGCGTGACGGGACAGTTCATCATAAGGGACACGCTGTCAATGAAGCTTAAGGTGCTCAATGGGGAAAAACTGTTTTGAAGACCAAATCTGCTCTCTGACTGGAAGAGAGACAGAACCAAACAAAGCGGCCGTCAACTCCAGCGTGCCCCGCTCGCTTCAGCAAGCAAGCTGTCCTCCTGGCCCGCAGAGGGACTTGCTAGCCCTCTGGAGAGCAGCCAGCCTGGCCCCGACCACCCCGAGGGCCGAGGCCGGGCAGGGCTGGGGGAAGCACGCCCGCTGCCCGCTCCAGTCTCCACCCCTTCGAGGGGAGCTTTAAGTAGGACAGGAGCTGCTCCGAGAGATCCGAGCCGCGGAGAGCGCAAAGCGGGCTGCTCTGGAAGGGAAAGCATCCGCAGACTACAGAAGAGAAAAAGCGAAAAGGTAGGCACTGCTCTGCACCTGTTTCAGAAAGCGCATTTCCCATTTTCAACATCAATGGCGTTGTCGTTAAATATTACTATTGAATAAATCCCACCGAAGCACCACGGTAGTTAACTAACCGAGCTATTGCCTTTCGGCTTTTGAAGAGATTCGTAACGCTGGGTAAAGCCGCTAGCTCTCGGTTGTTTCAAGGAAGCTTCAGCTATTCCAGGGAAAGGGCTGGCAGCCTCAGGCTCTGAGCAGCTTGCAGGGAGGAGTCCCCTGCACAAAGAGCGTGAGCAAAAGAGCTTAAAACAAAGGAAGAGTTACGGACGGACAAATATCTTGATGGTAAGGAAAGACCGGGAGAGCTAGCTGCGATAGGATAATTTATTGTCTTCCTGGGAGGAGATCAGGCTGTGCCTTCACCCCGGCTCCCAACCAGGATAACAAAGAGGAGGAGGGCGGGTCGTCTTCACTTCTCCCTAAACACCCTTCTTTTCAAGTGCGGCCAAAACCGCGGGAAATATTGAGAATGATTCCCAGAACATAGCCAGAGTTTTTTAATATCCATTTCCTCCGATGCCTTCAAAGACTACAGCATCTTACTTTCTTTGTTTTGGTCTTTTAATTCTTGTCCCCAAAAGCAGAGGTCTGTCCACTGTTCTATTTTAAAGAGAAACAGTAGGAGTCTGATATTCACCTGCTCAGCTTCGAAAAGGGATACAGAAGCATTTGCTCCAGGAGGCAGGAAAATGCAGCAAGGATCTTGCTTAAACTAGATCGAGATAGCTGTTCATCAGCCAGAAAGCTATGAGCGCTACAGATTCAGAATCAAAGTATTCTGGAATGGACATACGAGGTTATTGGGAGGCATATGCGGGGAGAGCTACTTTTAATTTCTACTAATGACTTCTTGTTCGACCTTGGTAAGTTACATCACTTTTTCAGGTCTTATTCCACATTGGTAAGATAATACACTCTTACTGCTTAGAAGGGCTGTTATTAATAATAAATTCCTATGTGGCTGCTGCTGATGCTTCAGCAAAGAGAGATAAATTTAGGCTATCATATATCTTTATGTCACAAGGTACCTGAAAGGGTAGAATCAAGATGTCAGAACACCACATCCAGGGCTCTGGCTTATTGCTAGCGTGTTTTTGATCAGCGAGGAAGCAAAGGGTGAGAGCAGAAGGCACAAACCGTTTAGGAGAGCCCTACCAGAAAGCACATTGCTTGCAGGTTTCTGCTTG